TGAAAAGGGGTCAGTGCCATGTGCCACATCACCGGGGAAAGATGAAAGTAAATTTAGTGGCGCTGTGATGGGCCAGAGCCCATCGAAGCCTACTGATGCTGGCACCTCCTCTAGCTTACCATTTTCTCATTCACTGCCAACCATGTGTAATAAGCCATTTCAGCAACTGTCTGTTGTCACATCACCCCTTAGCTACTCATCATCAAAGTGCAATGCTCCTATCAATGCAGTGCCATCTTGTCCTGGAGGTAATACTTTATCTCCAAAGATGGTACCACCAGGTCAGGGTGTTTCTCCCAAGGGTGTAGGCCTCACATCACCCAAGAGCCTGAAAAGTCCAAAGGGCAGAAGAAAATGCTCACTGGAGGAAATGGTGACCAAATTGCATAATCGCACAGAGGCTTTTCAGAGTGGTGTCAGTGTATTGCCATTTTCACCAAAAAGTGTTCTGTGTGATAGTGTAAAATTAAAGAACAGTGCAGAGACTGTAGACAGACAGGCTCCCCTGCCTGCAAAGGGAAGCCTCTCTGATTCCCAGACACAGAGCGGAGTTAGCTTCCCAAATATTTGTGATAACAATAACACTGCCAGAATATGTGATGCTCACCCTGCTTTGAACCCCACAGTTAATGTTACAAGCACCAGACTTCATGATGAGACTGACAAATACACTGATAATTCTTCATTGACAGTGTGTGATATAAAAAATAAAGTAGCTACTGATGTGTCTCCTGAAAAGATCATATCCAATGAAGTGAATAAAAGCCAGAAATTGCCAGTTTTACATTTAAATGAATCTTGTGTTGACAGTTACCCTCTAGGAAATCGTAATGACTTAGAAGGAAACTATGGAACATGTGCTGAAAGTTCATTTTTTAAAGTAGATGGAAAAGGGAATCCTAGCAGCTTACAATGCAATGCAGAAGTGACAAAAAATGCTCAATGGGGAGTTATGCTCAATCAGTGCAGTTCCAAACCAGAAGTGCAACATATATCACAGAATAAAAAATGTAATGAAAATAAAGCATCAGAAATTTGCAGAACAGATTGCCAATCAGGTGATTCATCTACATCCTCTTTGTCAGACAATTTGAAAAGTGACCAGCAGCAGTATGCCTCTGACCAGGAATCTGCAAGGAGTGCAACAGAGGCTTTGCAGTGTGCTGAAAGGTCTGAGAGTGGTTTAGTGGGGAGGGGAAAGGATCACCAGCCAGTTGTGGAATCTGAAAAAGTGCGAGAAGACAAGGGCTCAAGAGACTTGACATTAATTGATAATAAGGGTAGTGGAAACACAGAGAAAAAAGAAGGATGTGAAAATCTTGTCAGTGAATCCTGTGAGGTTATTAGTAAGAAAGTTATTGGAAGAGGATCTCCAGAAGATCCACAGGTTGAGGAGGTCATACCAAGTGAACCACAAGGCAATAATGAGCTGAAAACACAACTGACTGGTGGTGAGTGCCTCAGTGTTCTGTCAAAAGCTGAGGTATTAAATGTGGAACTGAGTGATAACGTTTCAAGTAAACCTCAGAGTGAAAAGGAAGAAATCAATGAACCTGGTGATACAGCTGTAGGCAATGAAGTGGAAAGTGAGAATGTGGTAAGTGGTACAGAGCAAAGTGGTGGGGATATAACCGGTGAAAACACATTAAGAAGTGACCAGCAAAAAGACATAGAGTGTATGAATAATCAGAGCAGTCTAAAACTCATGAATAAGTTGATAGATTTAACTGCCGAGTCAGAAAGTGCCAGGAGTAGTAGTGTAGAACTCATTGAAAATGAGCCATTGGAAAATGTGGACAGTGAGAGTGAGATAGAAATTTTATATGAAAAGAAAGATGAAACTGGAAGAGAGAATACCACAGAGAAAAGTCTGCCCAGAGGTACAGAGGTATTGAATTCTCTTCAATCTAGGCCAAGCCAGGTTTTACCGGCTGTGGAGAACAAGGAGTCTGAAGCACTGCCATATTTAGAGCCAATATCAGATGATGAGAACTCCCTCTTGTGTGCTCCATCCACCTCATCTGGCCTTTCATCTGTCTCTGGTTTTCAGAGCAATTCTGATACTCCCATGTTCTCTGATACTCCCTCCGATGCATCGCGTGGGGCAATTATGGTTAGAATCTCTGATGCTGTTGCTGCAATTCTGTCAGATGTGTCTGATGAAAGCCTTCCAGATTCCCCATTGTCATTTAGTGATAAAACTCAGGGTTCTAGTGAAAAAGCAGATGACACAATACGTAGTAACACAAGTGAAAAAATATATGCAAATACAATGGACAATGAAAAATTGCTTTCTACAGCAGTGGAAAAAATATCCACTGAAGAAACCACTAAGGATTCTGAAAGCCTGAAGGACAGAGGTCTAACAAAAGACACAGTTCAACCTGTATCTGAATCAGCTTCCATTATAGAAACTGATGATAGTGTGTGTGTGGATATTTGTGTGAAAAGTGAACAACTGGGACCAAAAAATACAGAATCTATGGAGAAAATGGATTCTTGTGTGCAAAATTCTACTGTGCAAAGCTTGGCCTGTATTACAGAAATTGAGAAAAGGTCACTAGAATCTCCAGAACCAAGTAGAAATATATGTGGGTTGGCTCCTAGTACTCTTAGTAAATTGTGTAGCAATAGTGAACAAGAAAGTTCTTGTCAAGATTCAGAGTTGAAAACTGCTTACCATGAACAACAAAAGCAGTTGGAACCTCCATCTCTCCTAGGAGAGTTTAACACTGGATCAACAGATGGGTCCTCCACCTCTAAATCAACTTGTGGCATTACTCCTATTGGCCAGTCAACACGATCATCACAAGTTTCAAGTTTATCCACAGATAAGCTTGACCCTCTTAGCTCACACACACAGGTACTTTTAGCAGAATCATGTACCATAGCTTGTTGTAGTAAGTCTAATAATAGTAGCCATATATGCCAAAACCTCATCTCAGGATCTCAGAAAAGTTCTAGTCAAAACCAAAACTGCAATACATCACAGAGTGGGGGCAGCAAAGACTTAGGTCTTGCGATTAAGCAGCCCAGTGCAATTATACATAATGATGAATCGGCCGAGAAAAATAGGGTAGCTGGATGTGAATCTGGTGATACAATAAAAAGCAGACTCATGTGCCACAGTGAAGATGAATCTGCTAGATTTTCAGGAAAAGAGAAGGAAAATTTCACCAATCAGTCTGATCGCACATCTAAATCTGTGCAGCCCAATGATGGAGTATCACCTACCGCAATGTCAGTGGTAGTTGACAACACAGTTGTCACTTCTGATTTGGCTGTATCACATGGAGATAATGCCCAAACATTTAAGGAAAAAGTATTTTCAGAAACTGAAGTTCCTGACATGGATGACCAAAGAGGAAGTACATATTCACATGATGCAACTACATCAGATGTGATTAGTGCTGGAAATGTTACAGGAACCCAAAAACACACTATTGGAGACAGTAATCTTGGTAGTAAGGAAGTTCCTGATAGGGAGAGAAGTGAAGAACCTGAAAATATCACAAAGGATTTTTCCACAGAAGAGAAGACTATTGCTAGTAGTGAAAGAAGTTTAGAAAATCATCTGCTTAGGCAACCAGATGTACTAACCACAGACTGCAAGCAGAAGTTCCTGGATGAAAGTAACCCATCTGAAAGGGCTTCCGAAATATGTGAGGAGCTTAAGAGCAGACACTGCCACACTTTCCTTGATGTTAACCAGTCTAGAATGGTTGATTCACATGCAGTATCCACTGATATTAGTGTTAAGACCTGTCCATCAAACACAGTGTCTCAGGTGAGTGAAGAAAGTTGTAATACATTATCTACACCTTTGGATTTCTATCTTCTGGCAGAGGCTTCTTCATCCTCCAAAACATATACTCAGGATATCCATGATTTGGGTAGGGAAGGTATGCTAGTTCCTCCACCAAGTGAAATTGTTAATGAAGTTGCCCATCCACTGCCTGCTGAAGTTAAAGACAGTCTTCCTCAAAATGTGGCTGCCACAAATGCCAGTCATCCACTTACAAAGGACCCTTCAGCCACAGATAAAGAAGATTCACCAGTATCTGAGGCTGAGCAAGGAACTGTTGAAGAACCAGCATCAAGTCAGGAGGCATTTCAGACTGCTGAAGCCAATTCCGAAATACCATTTGCAAGTGTTGCTGAAATAAATCAGATGCCAGATGAAATTATTAGAGCAAAGTTTGCCCCAACTGAAATTGATGTCGATTTTAAAGCTTGTGATTTTAAACATGTACCTTCTGAAGATACAAAAACTAGTCAGGTAACAGCAGACATTACTGAAACCAGTCATGCATCATTGGAGATGTTTGAGTCAAACGAGGTGGCAGCTGGACTTTGTTCTGTAATATCAGAATTATGTAAAATTAGTAAAGCAGCAGATGAGGCAACCAAAGTTGCAACATCTGAAGAAGTCAGTGTGTGCATGGAAGCAACAGATGAGGCTGCTAAAACCAGTCAAGTATTAGCAAATGTTCTTGAAAATTACCAGGGAGCAGCTGAATCATGTACAACCAGTAAAAAAGCATCTGACAGAATGGAAGCCAGTAAAAGTGAAACTGCTGAAGCAAAAACTGTTAAACAAACAAGCCGTACAACAAACCAAACAACAATGGATATCTTTGAAGAAATTCAGTCCCTGGCAGAAGCTGTCCAAGAAAAACATGATGTTAGCGAAACTTCATACAAGTTGGTTGATATGAAAGGTATGTCTACTGCTGTCAGTATTGTAGATTCCTGTTCATCTTCAGAGGTTGCAGACCTCAGTTGTTCACCTACTAATTCAAAAGAAGAGCAGCTCCCAGTTGTCACTAAATATCAACATTCCCATAAAGAAACGGAGATATATCATCAGTCACCTGGAGCTAATGTGGCAAATATTTGTTCATTTGCTGAAGGCAGTACTGAAACAATTTACCTGGGTGACAGAAGGGAAACATGCTTTTCAAATGCTGATATTGAACCCAGTAATCAGTTAAGTATTGTAAAAACTGAAAGCCATTCAGAAACTTGTGTCGATCTTCAAGATGTTCAAAATACTACAGTCGGTAATCAGATGTCAGGTATCACTGAAAAGAAAGAAATGCAAGCTGTAAACTGTAACCAGGATTCTGCTGGTAAAGTTTCAAAGATTGAGTCCTCAGGTGTTCATCTACCACTGCAAGTGACTGATGGTAGTAGCCACTCCCTAGAATCTGTTCATGTTGTCAATGATGGGCATTGTAAAGAAAGTCAGTCAACAGAGAGTCAGTTATTAGTAAAAGAAGATGAACAGCCAGCTGATTTGACTAGCATGAGCCATTCAACAGTTGGCTCAGCAGAGGGAAGTTACATGCAGTCTGATTTAACTGGAAATGTGTCTCCAGCTAACCTAAATGACAGAAGCCATCCAACAGAGGATGTGGTAGAAATTGTGGCAGCTGAGTTGAGTTGTTCAGTAGCTGGTGATTCTGAAGTTGGTGATTCAGACAATGGAAATGTTGGAGATCAATCATCAACTGAAAGGGGTTGGGTTGATAATTCAGTAATTGATGATGCCATTGTTGATGAGGCAGCATCTGAGGAAACTCAACTTGAGGATTGCCAGGATGAAGATTCTGATAAACTTCCATCTGAAGTTATCCAAGTTCATCATGCAGTGGATCATCTGCCAGTTGATCACCCGCCACCTGAGAAAATTGATCATCCACTATATGCCAAGCCTAAAATTGATCAACCATCATTTGATCAACCCCCAGATAATGAGACTATATGTGATCATGCACCAGTTGATGAAATAAAGGTTAATGAGGATGTAAGTAATCATCCACCAGTTGATACAGCAGAGGTCGATCATCCACCAGCTGAAGTGAAAGTTGTTCATCCACCAGTTGATGAGGCAGAGGTCGATCACCCAACAGTTGATGTAGCAGAAGTTGATCATCCACCAGTTGATGAGGCAGAGTTCAATCATCCAACAGTTGATGAGGCAGAAGTTGCTCATCCACCAGTTGATGAGGCAGAGGTCGATCATCCACCAGTTGATGAGGCAGAGGTCGATCATCCACCAGTTGATGAGGCAGAGGTCGATCATCCACCAGTTGATGAGGCAGAGGTCGATCATCCACCAGTTGATGAGGCAGAGGTTGATCATCCACCAGTTGATGAGGCAGAGGTTGATCATCCACCAGTTGATGAGGCAGAGGTTGATCATCCACCAGTTGATGAGGCAGAGGTTGATCATCCACCAGTTGATGAGGCAGAGGTTGATCATCCACCAGTTGATGAGGCAGAGGTTGATCATCCAACAGTTGATGAAGTGACAGTTGATCATCCACCAGTTGATGCAGCAGAAGTTGCTCATCCACCAGTTGATGAGGCAGTTGATCATCCATCAGTTGATGAGGCAGTTGATCATCCACCAGTTGATGAGGCAGAGGTCGGTCATCCACCAGTTGATGAAATGACAGTTGATCATCCACCAGTTGATGAAGTGAAAGTTGATCATCCACCAGTTGATGAGGCAGTTGATCATCCACCAGTTGATGAGGCAGAGGTCGGTCATCCACCAGTTGATGAGGCAGAGGTCGGTCATCCACCAGTTGATGAGGCAGAGGTCGGTCATCCACCAGTTGATGAGGCAGAGGTCGGTCATCCACCAGTTGATGAGGCAGAGGTCGGTCATCCACCAGTTGATGAGGCAGAGGTCGGTCATCCACCAGTTGATGAGGCAGAGGTCGGTCATCCACCAGTTGATGAGGCAGAGGTCGGTCATCCACCAGTTGATGAGGCAGAGGTCGGTCATCCACCAGTTGATGAGGCAGAGGTCGGTCATCCACCAGTTGATGAGGCAGAGGTCGGTCATCCACCAGTTGATGAGGCAGAGGTCAGTCATCCACCAGTTGATGAGGCAGAGGTCGGTCATCCACCAGTTGATGAGGCAGAGGTCGGTCATCCACCAGTTGATGAGGCAGAGGTCGGTCATCCACCAGTTGATGAGGCAGAGGTCGGTCATCCACCAGTTGATGAGGCAGTTGACCATCCACCAGTTGATGAAATGACAGTTGGTCATCCACCAGTTGATGAAATGACAGTTGGTCATCCACCAGTTGATGAAGTGACAGTTGGTCATCCACCAGTTGATGAGGCAGAAGTTGCTCATCCACCAGTTGATGAGGCAGAGGTCGGTCATCCACCAGTTGATGAAATGACAGTTGATCATCCACCAGTTGATGAAGTGAAAGTTGATCATCCACCAGTTGATGAGACAGTTGATCATCCACCAGTTGATGAAGTGAAAGTTGATCATCCACCAGTTGATGAGGCAGAGGTCGGTCATCCACCAGTTGATGAGGCAGTTGACCATCCACCAGTTGATGAAGTGACAGTTGATCATCCACCAGTTGATGAGGCAGAGGTCGGCCATCCACCAGTTGATGAGGCAGAAGTTGATCCACCAGTTGATGAGGCAGTTGACCATCCACCAGTTGATGAAGTGAAAGTTGCTCATCCACCAGTTGATGAAGTGACAGTTGCTCATCCACCAGTTGATGAGGCAGAAGTTGATCCACCAGTTGATGAGGCAGAAGTTGATCCACCAGTTGATGAGGCAGAAGTTGATCCACCAGTTGATGAGGCAGAAGTTGATCCACCAGTTGATGAGGCAGAAGTTGATCCACCAGTTGATGAGGCAGAAGTTGATCCACCAGTTGATGAGGCAGAAGTTGATCCACCAGTTGATGAGGCAGTTGACCATCCACCAGTTGATGTAGCAGAAGTTGCTCATCCACCAGTTGATGCAGCAGAAGTTGCTCATCCACCAGATGATGCAGCAGAAGTTGCTCATCCACCAGTTGATGCAGCAGAAGTTGCTCATCCACCAGTTGATGCAGCAGAAGTTGCTCATCCACCAGTTGATGCAGCAGAAGTTGCTCATCCACCAGTTGATGCAGCAAAAGTTGCTCATCCACCAGTTGATGAGGCAGTTGATCATCCACCAGTTGATGAAGTGAAAGTTGATCATCCACCAGTTGATGAGGCAGAGGTCGGTCATCCACCAGTTGATGAAATGACAGTTGATCATCCACCAGTTGATGAGGCAGTTGATCATCCACCAGTTGATGAAGTGAAAGTTGATCATCCACCAGTTGATGCTGCAGAGGTTGCTCATCCACCAGTTGATGCAGCAGAAGTTGCTCATCCACCAGTTGATGCAGCAGAAGTTGCTCATCCGCCAGTTGATGCAGCAGAAGTTGCTCATCCACCAGTTGATGCAGCAGAAGTTGCTCATCCACCAGTTAATGAGGCAGTTGATCATCCACCAGTTGATGAGGCAGTTGATCATCCACCAGTTGATGAAGTGAAAGTTGATCATCCACCAGTTGATGAAGTGAAAGTTGATCATCCACCAGTTGATGAAGTGAAAATTGATCATCCACCAGTTGATGAAGTGAAAGTTGCTCATCCACCAGTTGATGAAGTGAAAGTTGCTCATCCACCAGTTGATGAAGTGAAAGTTGCTCATCCACCAGTTGATGAAGTGAAAGTTGCTCATCCACCAGTTGATGAAGTGAAAGTTGATCATCCACCAGTTGATGAAGTGAAAGTTGATCATCCACCAGTTGATGAAGTGAAAGTTGCTCATCCACCAGTTGATGAAGTGAAAGTTGCTCATCCACCAGTTGATGAAGTGAAAGTTGCTCATCCACCAGTTGATGAAGTGAAAGTTGCTCATCCACCAGTTGATGAAGTGAAAGTTGATCATCCACCAGTTGATGAAGTGAAAGTTGATCATCTACCAGTTGATGAGGCAGTTGATCATCTACCAGTTGATGAGGCAGTTGATCATCTACCAGTTGATGAGGCAGATGATCATCCACCAGTTGATGAGGCAGAGGTCGATCATCCACCAGTTGATGCAGCAGAAGTTGATCATCCACCAGTTGATGAAATAACAGTTGATCATCCACCAGTTGATGAAATAACAGTTGATCATCCACCAGTTGATGAAATAACAGTTGATCATCCACCAGTTGATGCAGAAGAGGTCGATCATCCACCAGTTGATGCAGCAGAAGTTGCTCATCCACCAGTTGATGAGGCAGAAGTTGCTCATCCACCAGTTGATGAGGCAGAAGTTGCTCATCCACCAGTTGATGAGGCAGAAGTTGCTCATCCACCAGTTGATGAGGCAGAAGTTGCTCATCCACCAGTTGATGAGGCAGAAGTTGCTCATCCACCAGTTGATGCAGCAGAAGTTGCTCATCCACCAGTTGATGCAGCAGAAGTTGCTCATCCACCAGTTGATGCAGCAGAAGTTGCTCATCCACCAGTTGATGAGGCAGAAGTTGCTCATCCACCAGTTGATGAGGCAGAAGTTGCTCATCCACCAGTTGATGAGGCAGAAGTTGCTCATCCACCAGTTGATGAGGCAGAAGTTGCTCATCCACCAGTTGATGAGGCAGAAGTTGCTCATCCACCAGTTGATGAGGCAGAAGTTGCTCATCCACCAGTTGATGAGGCAGAAGTTGCTCATCCACCAGTTGATGAGGCAGAAGTTGCTCATCCACCAGTTGATGAGGCAGAAGTTGCTCATCCACCAGTTGATGAGGCAGAAGTTGCTCATCCACCAGTTGATGAGGCAGAAGTTGCTCATCCACCAGTTGATGCAGCAGAAGTTGATCATCCACCAGTTGATGCAGCAGCAGTTGATCATCCACCAGTTGATGAGGCAGCAGTTGATCATCCACCAGTTGATGAGGCAGCAGTTGATCATCCACCAGTTGATGAAGTGAAAGTTGATCATCAGCCAGTTGAAGAGGGTCTACTTAATCATCCACCAGTAGGACATTCACCAGGTGATGAGGCAGTAGTTGATCACTGTCTAGTGGATGAGGCTTCAGTCCATCATCCACTAGAAAGCAAAGCTATTGTAGAGCCTACAGCAGTAGATGCCAGTAGGGATGACCATCCATCAGAAAATAACACTAAAATAGAGCCTCTATCAGGTGGGGATACAGTAGCTCACCCAGCAACTAACAATACTCTTACTGATCACCCATCAGCTGATGATTGTCCTTTTGGTCAGCTACTTGTGGATCAGCCACAAACTGAGGATACTCAGAAGGACTATCTACACACTGGTGATTCAGTTGTTGATCCAGAAGCTACCGAGGGCTTAGATCAATCACCATCTGAATCCATCTTGGATCAACCTGCAACCAAGGATGCAGTTGTTGATAATCCAGCAGCTGAGGTGTATCCAGCAGCTGAGGATAATAAAACCGACCTTCTGTTGGACAGCATGCTTAATTCTGCAGACATTATTGACAAAACAGACACAGCTGTTGAGATTCCAGTTTTTAAGCATGAACATGTGGATTCTGCAGACTTTCATACAACTGATGAAGTTTCAGAAGGTGTTCATAAAGCATCTGAGCTTTCAGTGGGCATTAGTAATACAACAGAGATTACAGACAGTATACGTGCAATGTCTGTAGCTACAGATGGTAATCAAGCAACAGCTGAGGGCATTCTCCAAAATACAGAGGCTATAGATGAAAGTATTATAACATCTGACTTCACAGATAGACATACCAAAGCTGAGGTTACTGAAGACAAATGTGCTACACCTGATAGTATGGAATGTGGGCCTTCCAAAGTACTAGTAGATGTTGCAGTTGAGGAGAGTGATGTTAACCTTGGTCCTGAGGTGGCTGAAACTCCAACAGAAGGTACTAGTGTTTCTGAACTTTCTATTGTTCAAGATGAGTGTATTACAAATGAGCCATCTGTATCTGAGTCTGACTTTAAAGAAACCATTTCTCCTGCATCTGAAACAGAAATAATAAAAGCAAACACAGGGGAAACAGAGCCAGACATTTTCCCATGTGAAGGATTGCCACCAAATGAAGACAGAACTGGCAGTGAAAATGAGGGTCCCAATGCATTTGAGCACAAATTTGAAGTTGTTAGTGATATTAAATCATTAACCAGTCCTGTCTCTAATGAAGTGTCGACTGTAGATGGAAATGGTGGTGTTTGTGAAAAGATAGTTGAAAGTTGTAGACCCGATTGCAATAAAAGTAGTGAAGTAACACAGAGTGGGGTTGAGTCTGTAGTACAGTCTTCATATGAAACTGGAAACCAACATGTAGTTGGCAACAGCTCTGATTTTGAAATTGCACAAGATAGTACTGGATTCCATCAACCAACTAGTACATCACAGCAACTAGAAACTAAAATTGGTGAGGACATTAGTTCAGAAGCTGAAGTTTTAAAAGAGAAAAGTCCACTGATGACTGACGATACAGAGAAGATGGACAGAAAACCAGAACCTGTAACATTGTGTCCTCTTTGCATGAAGACTTTTAATCAGCCATTAGATGTACATCTTGCAGAGTTTCACATTTGTAACCACTTCATTCCAGCAAAAAGAACACAGGCTTATAAGTTGCATATGCTTCAAAGAGTTAAAGACATCTCTCGTGTAACAGAGGCGATTGACACTCAGGAATTTGTATATGTTTGTCGTTCTTGCCAGTTTGCAAGTAAGGATATTAATGCAGTCAGATTTCATGTTAACATTCATGAGGATGTTTATCAAGCCATTCCTGGCAAAATTTCTTGTGAATGTAATCAGAGGAAATATTCTTATCCATTTCATAAATGGAAACACCTACTTCATTGCAGTACTTATGAATGTATGATATGCAATTTCTATTTTGCATGTGAAAAAGGACTTTTGAATCACCTTCATGCTTTGCATTTTAGTGAAGGCACTTGTAACAGTTGTAAAATGGAAGTAACACGAGACAGCATGTTAGCACATGCTTGTCTTACCTCATGCAAAAATGATTCAGAAACTCTGGATTTGGAACCAGAGGAATCAAATATAAACTTCAGGTTTGGATTGTCATGGAATACCCTTGACAATTATATCAACTATTTAGATGGTAAAGATTTTAGACTAAATACTTCTTCTAAATTGATGGATCCTAATCTTGATAGAAGTTACCTGAAATTTCCAATAAAAAATGTGCTAAGTGAAGCAGTAGTACCTGATGAAGTAAAGTTGGACCCTGGGAAAGATATTGGAAAGTATATGAAGGGAAAGAAAAATATCAAGCTAACCCTCAGTGAGGAAAGCTATGGCATTGTGAAGAACTTTCATTTATCAGTACAGTTTGATCTTGAAAAGAAGTTAGGCAGAAAGGGAAGAAGGGGCCAAGGTTTCATTCCAAGAGCCAAGCGTGAGGATGATTTATTTGATGTTTTGGGTTTGGGAACCATTCGATCGAGAGGATCTATGAGACAAGAGCTGGGTGATCCTTCTAATAGTCCAAGAACAAAGAAGGGCAGAAGCAAGGCCAAACAAGAAGCAAATAAGGAGGAAAGTGACTCTCATGGACAGGACTTACCCAGTCTAACTCGCACGAGATCAGGAATGCAGCCTGTGCGAGAAGGGGATGACAAGATTTATGAAACACCTGGTCCACAATCTGAGCCAGGGATTGTGATTGATGGAGAGTGGACCAAAAATCACACATACATTTGCTGTTCTTGTGGAGCAGGATACTTGGATCTTGCTGACATGATGGACCACAAATGGGAGTCACATCCGTCGGTGTGGTGTGCTCATACCATGATTCAGGGGCAGGGAGATGTCCCAGCTAGCTTCTGCAGACAGTATCAGCCACCTACCTCTCAACCACCCAAACTTCCACTACCTGGTACCACTCCCAAACAAACCCCCTCCAGTACACCAAGTCGAAGGAATTCAGATGCAAACACACCTACCCCAGCTGAGAAGCCTCAGTACATCTGCTCGCTTTGTAAGCTCGAGTTTCAAGAAAGAACTCTGTTCCATGCACATTTGGTAGAGTGTGGAGGCCTCAATCATGTGGCATCTTCCAAGAAAAAGAATAAGAAAGGTTTCAGGTGAGTATTCATTTGATGTTTTAAGTTTGAATAGCTTGAATGATGTCATTGATTTGTCTCACTTCAGTATGGCTTGTTGATAGTGACCCCTGTCTATAGTATATAACTGGGGCTGCATGCTTGATAGCATTACAGTTCCATATCTCCTTAATCCATTGGATCCAGAAGCTTCACTGCCATCATATGGCCCAAAGTATTGGCATTAGGCTTATGTGAGCGGACACTCTGCCAGGTGTGTGGCTTGAAAGCTGGCAGCTAATGAACACTTGTGTGGTGTCAAGATTCTATGCCTCCCCTATGCAATTTTATTCTACCTTTTCCTGCATAAGCATTTTTAGCTTTTATGCCATTTGATTTGCTTTATCCAGATGGTAATTAGACTGTTTTCCTTGCATAGACCCTATATCATCTCCTTTGGTAGTCTATAAATCAGTGCAGTAATAGTAGCAATAAGTCACTCTTTTTTTCCTTTTCATTTCTTTTCCTTCATTCCTTAATGCTCAGTTTTCTGTAATACAACCTGCACCACTGGTCATGGCAGGTAGGAATAGGTTCCTTAGCATGGAAATAGTGTCCTCCATGGAGCCGACATTCATCCGGTTATGGCTCATGGACATTACATTACACACTTTATCAGTGGAAATAATACAAAAGCACCTTCCTGAAAGCTAACTGAGTCTGATCATGCTCCAGAAAGTTTGTGCACTCGTGGCTAGTCATTCCTGTCACCCTGGCCTGATGCCGAAAAGCTCACAATGGCAAGTTCATATCACCCTGACCCACAGCCAGATTTTCCCAGGACAGCATGTGTACATCACCTGCCCCTCAAGCCAAATTTTTTTCATGATGTGATAGTCTTCCGGATTATAGGGATTATTATTGTCATTTGTGTGTTTGTAGACAGTATAATGATTTAGAGAAAATTAAATTTTACTGTATATAGATGTTGTCAAGACCTCCTAATTTTGTACCATTTATTAGATGGGCAGTCAAAGCCTTCTAAAATATGGAATATCAGTCATCATTTATTTGAGACTTTGTTCTTAAATTTTGTAACAATCCAGATAACATGATCACCATATCATGAAAACATTTCACTTGAGGGGTGGGTGACGTGAACATGCCGTCATGGGAAAATTTGGCTTGAGGGCTGGGGTGACTTGAACTTGCTGTCGTGAGCATTTTGGCTGAAGGCCGGGGTGATGGGAAATACAAGCAATGAGTACATATGGAGGATAATTAGATTCATTTGGCATTTTGAAAGGGGCATTTGCATTATATCTATCAGTAAACGAGTGTGGAATATAGTGTCTGTAAGTCGTGACTGGAAGAGTGCTGGCTCCGGGGAGGATGCCATTTCCAAGCTCAGCATCCTATTCCTGGCTGCTGTGACTGGTGGCACAGGTTGTATTACAGAAAATTGAGTGTTACAAAAAAAAAAAAAAAAAAAAAAGACAAACAATGAAATGTTACTTAATGTTGTTATTCTTGCAAGTCTGTACAAGGAAAATGACCTATTACTATCTGGATGAAGCAAATCAAATGACAAATACAGAAATTGGAAAATGTAAAAAAAATGCCTATGTATGAAGAGAAAAAATTTTGTTACAAGATGGAGAGATAGTCTTGTCACTGCACAAAAGTGTTCATGCGTGTCTGGCCTGCAAGCCGCACACCTGTTAGAGTAGTTTAACTAAGTATAATACCTATATTTTGGGCCATGTATTTGCTGTGATGCAACCAGATCCAATAAGTTAACCCCTTGGTGCCGGGTGACGCTGATCGGCGTGTACACAAAGAGCTCGAAAGCTGGCGTGCAGCCGAACGAGCCGGCGGCGCGCCAAAGCGCGGCGAGCCAGTGATTCGGGCTGATGTCCCCTTCTCACGCGCTCAAAGTTGCCGCCTTTGTTTGTTTAAGAGTAGAGTTTTTTTTTTTCTTTTGTACACCCGGCGTCATTGGGTTAACCCAATGGCGCGCCGCCGGCTCATTTGGCTGCACGCCAGCTTTCGAGCTCTTTGTTTACACGCTGATCGGCGTCACCTGGCACCAAGGGGTTAAGAAGGTCA